ATATATGAATATATAAAAAATATATCAAAATGCGTGTGGGTACTTAAATGAAAGCTCTTGATGAGTGTAATATCGAGATGAGCTTACATCTTAAAAAATATCAATAATTAAGAAATGACCTTGTATCTTGTGAACTATTGACATTTTTTAAGATATAAGCTCATTCCGATGTTACACTCATCGAGACCTTTCATTTGAGTACCCACATCAATTTTTCATATATTTTATATATTTATATATATTATATATATGTAAATATGAAAAATATATCAAAAATGTATGTGCGTAATCAAATGAAAGCTCTTGATGGGTGTAACATCGGGATGAGCTTATATCTTTAAAAACGTCAATAGTTAAAGAAGTACAGTGCAATTTAAGAAAACTCATTATTTCATGAGGCAAAATTTTATTTATTTATAGTTCACAAGTCACAACAGTCACATAGTGACTGCAAGGTTGCTAGTAATAATAATAATAATGTGGTGGTAGACATAAACTGAAAATTAAAATTAATTTTTTTTCACTCTAAATAATATTAGAAATTACTTTTATTTAATATAAATATCAATTAGATAAAATATAAACTCTGATGGTAATAATTATCATCAAAGATTGTAGAAATTATTAATTTGATTTTAAAAATTATTATCAAGATATTTAATCAAATTATCTTAGATAGTTGAAAATAAAATCTTATAGTAATATAAGATCACATTTTTTTCAGTTCGGTCACGCAGCAAAATCCCTATCCCCTCCAAGCCTGCCGTAAGGAACTTCGTTCCAAAAAAATGCAATATTATTTTTAAACCTTTAAAATTTTCCCGCCAATTTAAAAATAATTTTTGCGCATGCGCAAATTTAAATTTCTCCCACTTCTGGGATTTTTTTATTTAATTAAAAATTTTCAGGTTGTCCACTTTGATTTTAATTGACAAAATAATTATTTTAATGAAAATAAAAAAATTATTAAATTAATTAATTAATTAATTACATTATCTATAACAAGTAAGGAAAATTTCTAGATTATCAACAAAAAAAACTAAATCAGAAAACTGATGAATCATGATCTATATATATAACAACAAAATTAATATATTAAAACAAAAATCCAACAAAGTTTAATTTAAATGTCGTGACAATTAAAAAAAAAATGTGCGGACAAGAAAACAAAAAAATGAGCATTGAAGAAATAGTTGACTCGTTAACTCATGTGTGTATGGACCTCCGTAATAAAATAAAAGACGCACGTGCTGACCAAGTGGAAATAGAAAAAATAATCATCAAGCATATTAAAGAATGGTCGAGTGTTGATAATAATTCTGTCAATGATTTTCAAAAAGGTAAATTATATATTACACTTAAGTTTTTAAATATTAAATAATTTTTTATTTATTAAATTAAAATAAAAAAATAATTTTTAATAAAAAAAAATTGCACTTTTAATTTTTTTTAATTTTTACATGTAGAATTTTTTATAAAAAATTTTTTCACAATAATTTTATTGTTGAAAGAATTTTTTTTTTATTGCAATTTGTTGTAAAAATTTTGTTTCATAATTTGTAGTAATAAATTTTTTTTTATAAAAATTAAATCAACATCTAAAAATTTTTTTTTATTAAAAAAAAAATTCCATTTGTAATAAATTATAAGTGCAATTTTTAAAAAATATTTTTTTGTTCTAATTTAATAATTAAAAAAAAAAAATATTTTAAACAGCTGATTTTAGCATTATTAATTTTTTTGGTTAAATTTATTATTGTTGGTAAGGAATTTTTATCTGACCAGGTAATTAAATAAAATAAAATAAAAAATGGACTCAAAGAGAAACTCTGGAGCCGGGCTGGTGAAGAAAAGTGACAAGAAAAATTCTAAAAGTGACAAATTGAGCACTGTTGACAAGGAAGAATACGAGAGGTTAAAAAAAGCCGAAGAGGAACTGGAGCAAGAGCTGACCAAGCTGAAGCAAGAGCTGGAGGCTGGACCCTCCATGAAGGAGACTATTAATGATCTTCATGAGTACAATGACATCAAAGACGCTACTCAGATCGTTCTTGGTGCCATGGCTACTATGAATGGTGTTACTATTGCTAGTTTGCACCAGGAGTATGATTTGCCTTGCAAAGATGATTGAAATTTTTTTTTTAATGTTTAGAAAATAATTTTCATTTTTTAATTAAGTTTTTTTTTAGTAATTTAATTATTAAAAAAATTGCATTTATAATTTTTTAGTATTTAGAAAATGATTGTAATTTTTTAATTAAGTTTTTTTTTTTTTAGTCATTTAATTATTGAAAAAAAATTGCATTTGAAATTTTTTAAATTCTAATGGATTTTTTTTTTTTTCTATAAAATAAATTTTGTCAAATTTTTATCAATAGTTTTTTTTTTAAGTTATTAATTAATGATTAAAAATTAAAATTAATTTTAAGATTAAGAAAAAAAAATTTTTTTTCTTTAATTAAAATTGAATTTAGAATTTATTAAACATTGTTCAATTTTACGCTGCCATTAAAAATAACTAATTATATTTTGTATTAGATATTTTTATTATTAAAAATAAAAATAATAATTTGATATTAAATTTTTTATTATTTTATTATACCTTTATGATATTTAATAAAATATTTTTATAAATATTGTGAGTATTAATTAAATAGAAATAATAAAGATTATATATTAATTAATATATTTTATTATTTTTTAGGACTGGAGTGGTTTAATGTTTCTAAAGGACTGTCGATAAAAGAAGACTTGAAGGGAAAAATAACAATATTAGATTTTTTTACATACTGTTGTATCAATTGTATGCATATATTACCCGATTTAGAGGCATTGGAAAAAAAATATTCTATTGAAGATGGACTTGTTGTTGTGAGTATTTATATTATTATTATTACTAGATATAAGCTCATCCCGATGTTACACTCATCAAGAGCTTTCATTTGAGTACCCACATGCATTTTTGATATATTTGTCATATATTTATATATATAATATATATAAATATATGAAATATATGAAAAATTGATGTGGGTACTCAAATGAAAGGTCTCGATCAGTGTAACGTCGGAGTGAGCTTATCTCTTTAAAAATGTCAATAATTTACAAGATATTTGTTAAATTGCACTGTACTTACTAAACTATTAAAGTTTTTAAAGATATAAGCTCATCCCGATATTATACTCATCAAAAGCTTTCATTTAAATACCCACATCAATTTTTTATATATTTCTTATATATACGTATATATAATATATAGAAATATATGAAATATATGAAAAATTGATGTGGGTACTCAAATGAAACGTCTTGATGAGTGTAATATCGGGGTGAGTTTATATCCTTAAAAATGTCAATATTTCACGAGATATTTGTTAAACTGCACTGTACTTTCTTAACTATTGACATTTTTAAAGATATAAACTCACCCCGATATTACACTC